AGGTAGTACCAGTGTATTTTCCACAACTTGAATTCCGAGAGGATGCATGTTGCGAAATAATACCTGTGGGTGATGTGTGTGCAGTGATCAGTGGGGATGGTAGTTGTGTTAACTCTTCTGACAATGTACAGGTATCTGTTGAATTTAAGTGTCCAAAACCTGGGAAAGTCCACACAACTGACCAACATTATTCTCTACCAGTACACTACTCGACTCAGGTACTTAGCCAAATGTATGCCAAACATTGCCAGAACTGTGCTTACTTGCGCTACACACCCGAAAGCTCAACCTATTTGAGTGGTACTTTCAGCAATAATGTTTGGACTAAAGTTTGGAAATGCGCTAACGATCTCTATGGTCAGATGGAAACGGAGAGGCCAAAAAGAAGAGTCCCTTACCAAAATGATTTGTTGAAAGAACTCAAAGAGTATTCTAACTCTTTTATTCTCAGTGCTGAATTTCCTTCTTTACTATCTTCACCTTGTTCATGCTGTCCAACGAGCAATGTGAATGATGTTTATGGCCACCATACTTCGACTCCAAAAGAAGACAAAATCTCCCTCACTTTTATTGCAAGTGCCCTTGACAAATGTCTTTCTGCTGTTAAAGAATCGTATGGGATACTAAGGAGGGCAGCTAAGGAAGTTCTTGTGACGGTTTTGTCTGTCCTTGATCGTATGGGATCCTCATTAAACCAATCATTTGATGCTGTACCTATTCAATACGGCTTTGGTGGATATAGTTTGTCAATGCATACAGTACGAAGGTTTTTAGGGGAAGCAATAAAAGCATGTGAAGACAAAAATTTGAAAGTAAGAGCCATAGCATTTGATGGCCAGTTTGCAGAATTAGCGGTGCAAGATGCGTCTGGAAAACCTCTCACAGTATTACGGTTTATGAAAAAGTTTTGGGAAGAAGTACAAAAGATGGACAGAAAGGATAAATTGGCCTACCTACTTTCAACGCATGATGTTCCTAAAGACTTTCTAACAACCAGGAATGAATCAGGCTTAATAATAAGCTCAAAATGTAAATTTGAATCAATTAAATCACCAGGAAATATAGCTAAAGCTTTGTTACAGAGGAATGAATGAAGACTTTGGAGAACTTAGATGCCAGAGAGCCAAATTCAAATGAAGGAACAAATACACCAATAAAACAAGAAGAGGCAGCAACAAACAACTTACACGCACTTATTGAAGAAGGGGATTTCGAAATTGCTTTAGTTACACTGCTGGCTTCAACGGCAAGTTCCAAATGAGAACAAACATCAATCGAAGAGTTTAAAATGTGCTTTCAAGGGGCAAATAAAATCAATACCTCATTTAAAGTCCTGGAGTTGCAAGTTCTGGCTGAAACGATGAACATTGAACACAAAGGTTTGAAGAAACCTGACCTTGTTAATATTATATTAATATATATATATGGCGATGGTTCGACGATTGGTGTTAAAAAGAGATCTCCAAAAACTCTGAAAGATCTTGCAAATGCAAGTGTAAAAAAGTGGAATAGTTCTGCTATCAACATAGCATATGCTCAGCTTAAATTCCAAGACGCCCTTGAAGAGTGTGAAGAAAGTAATCCTTTTGCTGGAGAATGGACTTTAGAAACGGACAGTGGAGATAATTTTAAAATTCCAAGATGGTATGCACAGCCACTCGTTCTTCAAGAAAACTTAGTGCAACCAATTATAGACCCACATCACATTTATGTAAATAATAGAGCAGCCTGCTGCTCCAAAGGAATTAAGGACATGGGAATTTTACCAGATGCTTGGTGGAAAGTAGCAAAAGAATCAAAAAAGAACAACACGGGGTTATCAGTAGAAATCGCCTGTACTTTACAAGACAGACAAAGTAATGCATTTGCGCAAACAACTTTTAGTGAGAAAGTGGAAAAAACTAGGAGACTTATTGTTCAAAGAACAATAAGAGGTCTTTCCACCTTCTTTGAATTTCAATTTTGTTTTAAAATTAAATTCTATGAATAAGAAACCAAAATTGACTTAAAGGATAGCAAAAATTAAAAATTAAAAAAAAAATTGAAATGACCTTGACCTTTGACCTTGACAAAATATTAAAGGTCAAGGGTCACAATGCAATTGATCCCATGCTTCTACGACCTATAGTTTTCAAGTTCTAAGGTTAAATAGGAAGTACAAAGAAGTTAAAGGGCAATAACTCATATAAGCGGTCATCAGATCCTTTTGCACTTATATAGTGAAGTTAGGCCTAAAGACCCTTAAGACATTAGTGAAGGTTTAGTGTCTATACAATCTACGGTTTTGGAGAAGTAGCAATAACAAGGTTTTTTGCACAAGGGGCAATAACTTTTTAAAGGGTCAATCTTTGGGGACAAGAATAACATATTTGAAAGAGTTTTGAGAGTACATATTAATGATGCAAAGACATTAAGTATATATTGAAAGACAAAAGAGATATAGAAAAAGCTTAATTTCTCATTTTCTGAATGACCTTGACCTTTGACCTCTGCATGAAATTTTAGATCAAGGGTCAATAAATCTTATGCAGTTGGTCCCATGTCTCTACAACTTCTCGTTTAAAAAAAATATTTTTTTGTAAAATTCAAAAAGTTTCAGGGGCAATTACTCATTGAAGGGGCCACCGAATGCTTTCGCAATGAATAGATTGAAGAGTCCCCTTAATTAGTTGAAGACATTGGTGAAGGTTTCATACCTCTACGGTTTACGGTTTCGGAGGAGTAGCGATAACAAGCATTTCTTGCGTAAAGGGCAATAACTTCGAAAGGGGTCAAAGTTCAAACAAGGGCTGTCGTTTTTCAGAATAACTTTTGATATCCAGTTTCGTGAATCATAAAGTTTTTCGATAAGTATTGCGGTTTCAAAAGTCCGGGAAGAAGAAGAACTAGGAGACTTATTGTTCACAGAACAATAAGAGGTCTTTCCACCTTTTTAAATTTCTTATAGTTTTATATTTTACTCTCTAATTTAAATTTCAGTGAAATGGCTTAAAAAAAGAAAAGAATAAAATCTTTGAAACAGTTTTAAGAGTACATATAAATGATGCATAGACATTACGTATATGTTGAAAGACAAAAGAGATAGAAAGAAAACTAAATTTCTCATTTTTGGAATGACTTTGACCTTTGACCTTTACATGAATTTTAAGGTCAAAGGTTAATGAATCTTATGCAGTTGGTCCCATGTCTCTACGACTTGTCATTTTGAAAATTTTTAATTATTCCTAAAATTCAAAAAGTTTCAGGGGCAATAACTCATTAAAGGGTTCATCAAATACCTTTGCAATGAATAGATGAAGAGTCCTCTCAATTAGTCAAAGACTTTAGTGCAGGTTTCATATATCTATGGTTTATGGTTTCGGAGAAGTAGCGATAACAAGCATTTCTTGCGAAAGGGGCAATAACTTCGGAAAGAGTCAAGGTTCATTTACACAGGGTCAACTGCAATAATCTTTTACGGAGTACATTCTTAGGAACTATAAATCTTTTCGATATATCTTGAAACTCAAAATCACACGGCGGAAAAATAAGAAGAATAATAAGAAACAGAAGAATACCAATAGGTCTTTCCACGGAAAGGTGGAAAGACCTAATAATAATAAACATAAGCATTTCAAGAGGTCTTTCCACAGGAAGGTGGAAAGACCTAATAATGGAAGAAAATGGGGATTACAATGAAGCAAACTGGTGTCATTTGATACGAAACTGGTATAACGCTATAGACACAGCGTCAGTCCCTCTAAAAGTTAGAGTTGAATCGCTTTTAGCTATAAGGTCAAGACTCTTGGATCATCTCAATGTTGGACACTTTCCTCCACCAGGTGCATTTGTAAAAGGAATGAGCTGGGTACAGTTTGAAGGGATATTGACAAATGTAGATCGACGGTTACAGATGTATGCAGTTGTTAAAGATAGCACATACAACCAACGTGCAGTCACCAGTTTGGATTCGGAAACATTTTTTTCGGCATTCCAGGTAAGCATATTATTTTTAAACATTTATTTTTCTTAAAGAGTAAATTAATGTGAGTGTTTTATGAAATATTATGAATAACATGATTCAAAATTGCATACTTGGATTATGATCCAAAAGGAAGTGTTGTGTTGCGACCACAAGATGTTTCAACAGCCCTTGGATCTGCAGTTTGCATAGTTCATCAACGCTTAAACCCAACAAGGTTAAATAAAATTTATAGTAAAAAATGAAGCATACATAATGCAAACAACTCATATGATTAAATATTATAATATTGATAAAGACTGTAAATTGTGTGTATTCTTCAGAATAAAGGGCCGGTTAAATTTATTATTATTAAATGTACTCCTAGTTTCTGAGAGCAATTCTGTTGAATATTGAGAATAAGATTCTTGAATTACAGACAGTTTCACATGAAAACTTCAAAAAAGAAGAGGGTTTATCTTGTTCACCAGATGCATTTAGCAACACCCTTTCCTCCAGTGGAAAGCACTGAGACTTCCGCTAAGAAAAATCACATCTTGCTCAGGTAAAAATAGTTCTAGTAAACTGGTTGTTATTTCAAACGAAAATGTAAATGATATGTCCTCTGATATAAGTGACATGAAGACATTGCCAATTGAAAGCTCATCATTTTACAGATCACATTTTTTTGATTTTCCTGAAAGAAAATCAAAAACCCCTAAACGAAAGAGTGGCTCCATTACACCAGTTGGTCTGCCAGAGAGAGGAGCATCTGGTGCTCGAATGTACCATAAGCCAAATGAAGAAAGAATTTTACCACATAGACGATATGGACTTGATGATGATTATGTAGACCATAGTCTTCCAAAAAAACAGAAGCTTCAATAACCATACAAACGTGAAAGATTTATTATTCAATACACATGTGAATGTAATACATATGTATCCTGTTGTTTACATATATATGTATGCTGGATGAAAAGCTTGGCTTTCTATTACATTTCTTCAGCAAAGAACAGATAACGTTTGGCAATGAACCATTAAGATTTTTTGGCTTCATCACACAACAACGAACATAGCCATTACTGAGAATGTTTCTGACGAAGATGTCTCTTGTAGTTGCTTTCATATTTATAATCTTTAGCACATATCATACACCTATATGACTTACATTCATGAATGGATTTAATATGTCTTCTTAGACTCTTTTCATATTTGAATAATTTGAAACAATGTTTGCATTCAAGTTCCTGATTTAGATGGACAGCTTTCATATGGGCCACTAGGTCTTTCTTGTGCGTAAACTCTTTCTGGCACTTTTTACATTCAAACTGCTTGTGCTAGAAAAAAATACCAACGTATTAATTCTACAAATTCGAGTGTTATATGGCTGTCAATTATTTATATTCAGTTGAACCTTGAATGACTGTCCTAAAAGAATTAATGAAATCCTTAAACAAATTCATACCTTTTTTCCTATAAAAAAAATTAGATAAGACCTTACATATTTTTTTGCACTTGCCTATTGACTCACTGAAATTTTACTTGACCCCAACTTTTTAAAATTATTATGTGTTATTCTAAGTTTAATGTTTCCAGGGTATTGCAATTATTTCCTTTTGTATTTTTAGGTCTTTCCACATCCCATGGAAAGGCCACTTGAATTGCTTATGTTTTTTTTATTGTTGTTCTGTTATGGCCTTATGAACTGAAAGACTTGTTGAAAAATTTTTAGTTTATGATACTGGATATTAAAAGTTATTTGAAACTACCCAACGAGTATGACATATGACCCCTTTTGGAGTTTTTGCCCCTTTTACATAAAAAAGTTGTTAAAGAAAGTCCACTGAATCCCTTAACCATAGAGGTGTGAAAACCTTAAATAATATCTTTAACTAACAGAGTACTTGTGACATTGATCCTAAGAAAGTATTTGTTTATCCCTTTGATGAGTTATTGCCCCTGAAAGTTTTTAAAGTTTATGAAATAATTAAAAAAAATACCAAACGAGAAGTTCTAGAGACACGGAGCCAACTATATATGATTCAATGGCCTTTGACATTGAAATTTATTTGAAGGTCTAAGGTCAAGGTCATTCCAGAATTGAGAAATTAATCCTTTTTATATCTCTTTTGTTCTTTCAACATACCCTATCTATCTTTGCATCATTGATATGTACTTTTATATCTATTCCAAAGATTTCATTCTTGTCCCCTAATATTGACCTTTTAAACGTTATTGCCCCTTGTGTATAAAACCTTGTTATTACTTCTCCTTTTAAACCATATACCATAGAGAGACGAAACCTTCACAAATATCATAAGGAGCTTTTGGCAAAACTTCATTCTGATGGAATGAAGTTTTGCCTAAAGGATCTGATGAACCCTTTGACCCATTTTATGAGTTATTGCCATTATTACTACATTTCAAATTAAGCCAGTAATTAGTTCCTATTTTTAATTATTTGCTATCTAACAACAAGTCAGAAAAAAGAAACAACAACAATAAAAAGAGAAGAAAATAATAATTAAAAATATTAATTAAACTAAATGTGTTTATGAAACACTGATGCCCCCTATTGCAACATAACAAAGATTAAACCTTTCTTAAATGCAAAATTTAAGTAGGGTATTCTCACTTGAAAAATAATTGTGAAATTTGAAAGTGGGTCAATATTAATTTTTTTTTCAAAGGTACAAAAATCTCCAAAGGCAAGTTCAATAGGTTAAGGTAATTGGTATCCAATGAAAAGTCTTCCAACATAGAATACTTATGTAGTGGTAAGCATTCAGAAGTTATGACCATGGTTCAAAATTTTAAAAAATAGGTCAAAGTCAAAGGGTCAAAGTACTAGCCCTAAATTTTTAAAAAGTTATAGTCAAGGCTTTTTAAAAGTATGTCAAACTCCTAGGTCAAAGGGTCAAAGTTCTTGGTATTCAATTAAGGATCTTCTCACAAGGATTTCATATATGAATTATGAAAGTCCTATCCCTACCGTTGAAAAGTTATGGCTAATGTTTAAGTTTTTTCACAAGTTAAGAAATCTATAAGGTTAAAGGATCAATGCTTTTGATATCCAATGAAAGGTCTTTTAACAGAGAATATATATGTGAAGAATAAATGTGCTAGTATCTACTATTTAAAAGATATGGCCAAAATGAAAGTTGAAAGATTTTCATGTAGAAGTGGGTCAAATTCAAAGGTCAAGGTCAAATATGGTGGATTGATGGTACCAAAGAAAAGGTCTTATTTCAAGGATTAAACATGTGAAATATGAAAGTCATGGCCCCTCTAAAACAAAAGTAATGGGCTTGCAAGGTTAAAGTTTTTGTGGACAAACAGAAAAACAGACAGACAGACGGCTAGACACAACTAAACAATATATACCCCTGAATCATCATTTACGGGGACATTATAAACATAAAAATATTTAAACTTAACTACCTGCTCTAAAAATTATAGGTTAGTAACTCCAAACTAAGATTAAAATTATTTTAGCTTGTTCGTACTCACCCCATAATGTTTCAGGATGTGACATTTGTGCATTGCTTTTGTGAAAAATCCTTTATTGCACTCATCACACTTGAAAGGATAGCTTCCAATGTTATGTGCCATTGTCATGTGCCTGACTAGCATTTGGTTTGATTTATACAGTTTACCACATAGTTCACAACAATATCCATCTGGAAGTATATAAAAAAATGTTCAATATAATGTTCAATATAATTCCATGCAAGATATCTATAAAATATTTATAATATTTCAATTTGAAAATATAATCCCCACCAATGTTTGGTAACTTATAGATTTTGCATTTATATTGAATCAAATTTGTAGTATCCCAAATACTTATATCTCAAATACCATGGATATTGCATGCAGGGGTTTTGAGTTCTTCCTGGACTATTCTTTAAATATTTCACACAGAATACCATGAACCCTTGCATAATTATCTTGAAGTTGTTTTTACTGTCCCATCATGTTTGAGATTTAATATGGAGCTTGACATTCATATACAGGAATTACAGTTGATTTTTGCTCAGTGGTTTTTCACATTTCAATAGCAAGTCAGATATATTTTAAAATAAACCAATTCTGTGTGTTCTCATTTCCCCGAAAAAGTTAAAAAGTGCTAAGGCGAAATGGGAATTTTCGTATTTGTAAATATTATTATTAGTTTGATATAAAAATTTTATGATAAAAATTTCTATATTGAATGTAACAATTAATGTGAATTTATGAATACTGTGAATAAAATATTATGTAAAACCAAAAAATACTTTTTGCTTAATACTAGTATATTAAATCCATCAATTTATTAACCTGAGAACTTACAAAGGTGATATGGGAATGTATTAAATTTTACAATTAAGGTAAGATGGGAAAAACCATTCTGTTCAGAGTTTTAGATGTCTAAGCGCCATCAAAATCTTATTTTTATTCTATTTCTGAAATAGACTAAAAGCATTAAAATATACATTTCTTTAAGAAAAAAAATCTTTGATTTGAAATACATTTAGATGCTTTAATATATGTTCTACCCCCAGGAGATATTCATATGTAAGTTTAATGTTGAAACTACCTGCTTTTCTAGGTGAACTTGTTGCCACTGGTGGGTTCGAATCAAGTTCCAATTCTGAACCATCATTACCAAGTATCTCTGTAAATTATAGCAAAGTTCTTATTGATAATGAGAATCACTACTTAGTGCCTTTATTTAAATTCTTCAATGTATAGAAAAAATTAATGTTGTACCTGCTTTTCTAGGTGAACTTGTTGCCACTGGTGGATCCGAATCAAGTTCCAATTCTGAACCATCATTACCAAGTATCTCTGTAAATTATAGCAAAGTTTTTCATATTCATAATGAGAATCACTACTTAGTGCATATTCAATCTTTTTTTTGGATATTTCAATATATGAAAAAAAAATTATTTTTTTTACTTTTAGTTTAGTGGCAAACAAAAAAATGTAATAAAATTATTTGAGATAAAATTTAAACTTTTTACATTAACAGATAGCAAGAAAAACATCCAATTATTTCCAGCCAGACTTTCAAAACCTAATTATAATTAATGCAATAATAAAACTAAATTTTGTTTAAAAATACCTCTGATATAAATCACAGCCAATGAATGCATAATATAAGACAATGAGGAGTCTTAAGTCTTATAATCAATATGTATTGTAAAAATTGTTAGTAAAAATAAAGAAACTAAAAAAAATAATAAAAATGCTTCTTTGCAAAATAAAACTTAAATTAAAATAAAACAAAAATTATAGACATGTAACAAAATAACAATATATTGTTTTGAACATATTTCATTGAAATAAATCAAATGGATCAGAAACCAGTTCTTACAACTTACGAGTTCCTTTCCTATATGCTAGAATGTTATATCTAGTGTAGAAAATATTTTGCTTTTATTATAAGCAGGAGCTGCAAAATGATTTTGTTAGAAATTCATTGAATGTCCACTGTTAACACAATGTCCACTGTTAACAACCCCATTCTCTCCCTGTCTCGAATGAATTCAGTAAAACACTAGATGTAACTAATTACCATTTTTACCTCTGTTAATTATATTTGATGTATCCTGAATTATTGAAAGAAACATAATAGAATATTATTATCATATTTATATCAAATCCACATTTATTGAATGTAGTTGTCAGGTTGTATACACAAATGTGCACTTATAAATAGAAACTTTTGTTGACATACATATATACCCAGAATGTATAGGTCTTTATCAAAATAATTTTGACAAATATTCAGTACTTACCATTAGATTTGCAGAATCAGCGTCTGTGCATGTACATCAACCGACCAACGTGGGTAAAGTGAAAGTAAAATGTCAAAAGGGTGTCCAGTCAACTCGTGTACAAACTGAGTCGTACACAAAAAGTCCACTCGTACACAAATCAAAAGAAATCATTAAACAACATTTTATTTGCAATTGTTAGTAATCATTTTGTAAAAAATAATGTATAATACAGAAAAAAAAAATATAATTAGGTCGAAGAGAATTCGAAGTGTTACTTTTTTCAAGATTTTTTCTTAAATACTTTAATTGTTTCACATTCTAAATCAACCATATTAATCAAATAAGTATTAAATTAATCATTGAAAAAAAAACCTTTCAGTTCTTTTTTATGACCTACATACAATTTAAGATATAAATTTTGTAAAACATAATCTATATTTAATATTTAGTACTGATATTGAATAAAAATATTTGTATATCCACCATGCATGTACAATCTCTCACCAGAGGGCGTTTTACGCTCATCGCTCCAACAGAGCGCGCCCTCTGGTGAGAGATTGCATGCATGTATAGTCTCATATTCTATACCAAATTATTGTTTAAGTAATTGTGTTTGTGCCAATAAATATTTTTATTTGTATTTATACTAGTGGCGGATTTAAAACAGGGCGCACGTACATACCCGGTAATATATGGTTACTTGCTAAACCTCATTTTTACCCTACGAAATCTCAAGAACCCAGGAGCTTTCGGGGAGTTCGCCCCCTGGGCCCCCATCAGGACTTTGCCCTAGACCTATTGGGGGTCTCAAGAAATGATTAGTCCGTTTGTTGAGGCTATATGAATTAAAAGAAGGCAGGAATAAGTTAACGTCCGGCTGGTTTTATTTAATGATGAAAAGTGACCAGCCGGGACGCGCAACCTGCTTAACTCAAAAATCTGAGATATTCTTTTTAACCAATCAAAAATGATTTAGGAGATAATGGTTGACGAAAAAAACTACATTACAAAGGATCACTTGGTCATTGCGTGTCCACTTAATCTATAGGTCTTTGTGACGCAACTAATTAAACAACACTTGGCCAGGTAAATAATTCTAGGGACTTCGTTAATCCGTTAACAAAGAATTTATCACTCATGGACTACATCAAATGGATGCTATAAAAACATTTACAACAAAATTACCCCAAAAAGTTTGCGAAGCCCTCGCTAGAAAAACTTTTTATCAATCGAACAAAGAAACCTCAATTTTGGCATTTCCGATAAAGTAAAGTTGACATGTGCAATAAATAACATGACACTTCAGAGTAATCAGACAAAATCTAAAATAATATATATATAAAAATTCTGAACATATATTCTTAGCATAAAAATCAATTTAACATCAATTCTTTAATAATTAATTTTACTTAAATGTTTGACATAAACATCAGTAATTACGAAATATTTTTAAAAAAAATAATAAAATGTTTTGAATGATTAAACACAGGAATAATTGAAACATACAAAAATGAGATCCTAAATAAAAGTTACGGCCAATTGAGACCTTATAATAAATTGATTTATTCGAGAGTCAAGGGACTAAAATAATTTACTTCTTCTAACTCTTTGTCTTGTTTTGCAAATTTGAATTATATTTTAAAATACTTGAATTATCTCTACATGAACAACAATCAATCTAAATAATTTTTAATTTTGATTTTCGCTGATGACATTGCTCTTGCACGACATTTAACGTTTTTGACGTCAGAAGAAAACGTATACTACTCATTGTAACCTATTGACCCTTCTTCTGTGTTATTAAAATTACAGAAATGAATATAAGTCTACGATGATGCATCGTGTGCATTCAAGTGTAGAAATAATCTTTAATAAAGGATGCCATTCGGGTTGATGAATTCACCCATTTCCTTTCAAACACTCATGTCTGGGGTTCTTAGAGAAATGAACTTCAGGTCTGTACTTGTGTACATTGATGATGTACTGATTTTCTCCAAAGATTTCTCAACCCATCTTAAAGACATTGCTCAGGTTTTCAGTAAGTTACGTGAAGCAGGCCTGACCTTACAACCTTCAAAGTGTCACTTTGCTGTCAAACAATTGAAGTTTTTGGGTCATGTCATCTCACGTCATGGAGTTGAGGTAGATTCGGAGAAAACTAAAGCTGTCAATGAATTTCCTGTCCCCAGAAAACAAAAACATGTCCGAAGTTTCTTCGGTATGGCCAACTATTATCGTAAGTTTATTCACAATTATGCTAAGATAGCTACTCCTCTAAATGCGCTCCTGCGACAGGATGTACGATTCCAATGGACCCCTGAATGCCAACTGCCTTTGAAACTCTCAAAAGTGCTCTTATTTCTGCACCTATACTTTCCTATCCCGATCCTCAGAAATCTTTTATCTTAACCTGTGATGCTTCAGACAAAGCCATAGGTTATTATCTAAGTCAGCAATCCTCAGACAAAAATGAGCATGTCATCGCCTATGGAGGTAAGGCTTTATCTAAGGAGGAAAAACGATATACCACTTCTGAGAAAGAGCTCTTAGCTGTGATAAAGGGAGTAGAGGCCTATCGACCCTATCTTGTAGGAGGTAAGTTCACTATCTATACAGATCACAGAGCACTAGTCTCGCAGGTAGGTTAAGGTTACAAACAAATATTGTACTTGCCTATATGGTATGACGTCATAGTAAGCTATATGACGTGAGGTTTAGAGAGAAAAATTTCTTAAAATCGATATCCAAGATTGATTTTAGGTCGTAAAAATGGATCAAAATATGCAGAGACATAATATAAACAGAATTTTGTCGTTCCTGGGCCTCTGTAGTTATCACAGGGGTTACATACCAAACCCGTGACGTCATAGCTGTTGATCATGCAGAAGCAGAGTGAAAGTGAAACGTAACGAGAATTCATGTAAACAAACACAAGAAATCGGAGTTTAAAAGCATTTAGAATAAATATCATGTGTGATTCTTGTGGGAATAAAGCGTATGAATAAGGTATGGTAATATAATTTTGCAATTTCTTCGTAAAATTATAGCATGGAGGGTGTTTACTTGCCGATCAGCCTTTCCTCTGTCGTTCGTAACAAAAAAGATGCAAAAGTTCAACACTACACCGCCTACCTTGAAACTTAATTTTTGTTTTTATCTAAAGTTCTTATTCTTTTGTTTTTAGAAAGTGCTGCTAGAATCGTATGGTTTACGGGAATTGATACTTTTTTTCAATGTTATGAACAAAATGTAAAAATTTTGGGAAGGTTTCGTCCGATATTGTTGAATAATTATTTCTATAAGAGGACAGTGCGATTCTAGCAGCACTTTTCATGTTACAGAGATGTTTTTACATAACTATTATAACAAATTGAAACTAATTATCCCCGGGGTAGTGTTAAACTTTTCACTTTTTCATTAAGGCATATTTTCTAATTATAGACGTCACATGGTGACGTCGGGGTGAAGTGCCTCCTGTAGTACAAGTCCCATTGAAGTCTATAGAATGCATAATTTTAGCAAATGTTTTAAACTTGACTTTTTTTAATTTATTAGTGTTACATAATTGTAAAAAAGTGTTAATTCGCCGAATTCTGATCCATGTGCTGCCTTAACATACCCGCGCTGGTTGAAGTCTGCCAAACATACAGGTAGGTTAGAACGTTGGGCATTGAAATTACAAGAGTATGATTTTGAAATCATCCATAGACCAGGTAAGAACAACTATGTTGCTGATGCTCTCAGCAGACGACCTTACCCAGAGGTGGAACAGAAGGCTACTATCCCTGCACCTCCTATCAATTCCATCTGTTTGGCAGAATCTTCAGATGAAGAAAGTGACAATGAAAAAGTAAGTGTACAAGTTAACTTATTCTATGACCCTTCTGAAACTGATGTAGTAGTCCTAGAAGAAGACAACTTACAACCAGTCTTAGATGACAGAAAATCACTTGCCCAATTGCAACGGGAGTGTCCAGACTTTAAGGATATCATCAGGTATGTAGAAAAGCAAGAACTACCTCAAGATGCCTCCAAACATAACAGTATAGTAGCAGAGTCTAAACACTATTCCATAGTGAATGGCATTCTGACTCATCTCTTTCAAAGACGTTGTAGCAGACAACCAGAGGAAATGAGGTATATAACACAGATAGCTCTTCCTAGAGTCCTGAGATTAGATGCTCTTAAACAGTATAACGATAGTCTGGCAGGTGGTGGACACTTAGGAATAGAAAAGGTACGTGCTTCCTTAATACAGCGATACTTTTGGCCACGTATGCATCAAGACATAGTGGACTATGTCAAATCCTGCTCCAGATGTCAACTTGCCAAGAGAAATTACAATCCTGTGAAGCCACCCATGCAACCCATGC